AAACTGCTATGTTTTCAGCTGCAGGTTTAAAACTAGGGGAACCTGGCACCCAGATCACTTCATTGAGCTGAAGTAGTCTGGGTGCCTATAGTGGTCATTTAAGGGTCAATTTGATGATTGATAAATATCTGCATTCCTGTACATTGTACATACTTCTTTTAAAATGCATGATGTTTGATAGTTTCTCAATGACAATTGTACATCCATGTTATGATTAATAAATGAATTGCAAATCAAATTTCCAGGTTCCCCAAATTTAGCCATTTAGGGACATATTTCCACCTTGCTTAATTATACACATATTATATATATATATGCATATTTACATGGCACACACTCAGAAGGAGCACTCAGTCACTACGCATTAATTGTTTTCATTCTAGAGGTATATCCTATGGACCTACTGATTTTTATTGTATAGTAGTATACTTTAGACAGCTAGCGTGCTTTGAAGTATCATGTATATGACACTTGCTCTTTTGCTTGCACACCAGAAAGATAGATTCTAGTACGCCTTTGTCTGATCTATGTCTTTGGGGCATGAAATATCCATCATCTGCTATATATCCAGTGCCAATGCAAAACAACAATAAAATATTCGATTCAGGCATGCCTAGTCCTCAAACACCCTTCCAAAAACCAAGGCTAGGCTTTCCCAGTTCTCAACAACCAATTTAACACCTGCCATTTCTAAAAAGAGAATAATAAAAAAAAGAATCCTTTCACTGAATTCCACAACCTAGTATAAAGTAGACATGCTATCAGTGTATAGTAAGCTAAATGTTCCATATTTTTTTATTCTGAGCAGACTTGCAAAATAGCATATTTACTTAATTAGTATTCGTCTTAGTTTAATAGGTTTCATGCGAAATCCACTAGTAAAGGTAGAGTGCTATGTGTATCAGTGTATATGCAAATAACACTACATATCCAAACTTATCATGCAGTATATCTCACTTAAGCTTCATTTAGAAAACAATAAAATAGAAAAAAAAAATGACCGCAGCTGGTATTACATTAGAAGTAATTTATTATTTTTCACTAAATCTCATTAATAGCACTGAAACACAATTTGTTTATCAAGAGGTATAATGCAGTGATAGATTGATTGCAGCACAAGTTGTCAACTACAATTTTTGCTCTGTTTCAGACGTGCAATTCGTTTCTGTCCGAATTTAAATTCGGACGAATTTCGGCAATGCGGACATTCGGATGCTTCCGAATGTCCGAATTGCCGAAGTGCCGAATTTTGGAAGTACCAAACCGAATAGCCGAAGTGCAGAATTTCGGAAGTGCCGAAGTGCTTTGGATTTCTGAAAAGTGGCAAAACAGGAGAGGGAGGGAAAATTAAGGGAATGATGATAACCCTAGCCCTAAACCCACCCCTACCACTAATCCTAACTCTAACACTACCCCTAACCATACTAGGATTAGGTTTAGGGGTAGGCTTAGGGGTAGAGGAAGGTTGGGGCTAGGGGTAGGGTTAGGGGTTAGGATTAGGGGTAGGGTTGGGGTCGGGGTAGTGGTAGAGTTAGTGTTAGTTTTAGGGGTAGGGTTAGGGAACTGCCAAATTCCCGAAGTCCCAAATTTCGGAAGTGCCAAATGGAAGTGACAAATTGGCGAAGTGTCGAATTGCCGAAGTCCCGAATTTCAGAAGTTCGAACCGAACAAATTTTTTTGCCCATGGATATCCCTACTCTGTTTGAGTCATAGGTTGTTTACTGCAACACTGTGAGTCTCCTGTCTGATTGGCCTTAAACATAAAATACAGAAACATGATTGGATAGCTTAGGCAACTGTTTCATTTAGAGACTTGCCTGAATGAAACGTCTGCCAGTCCAGCTAAGCATGAATCTTTGATTCTTTGGCTGAACATATGAGCAGAACTAGATTGAGCTGAAAAACATTTACAAAGTAAATAAATTGCCTTGACCCAATATCCAGGATCTTTGTTGCATAATGTATTCTCTCTTTTTTCTCCTTCTCACATTTTCCCTAGATTTCATAACTGAAATAATGATTGAGCTAAATTGAGTTTAATCAAATGTACCTCCTAATCAATCTGCATGGAGGTATTTTGTTCAACTACTCTTTTCTGAACTTCTTTAAGTAACTGCATTCCTTGCATTTAAAGTTATTCAAGTTAAGCCACAACAAGGGGTGGAGGTTGACCTTGGAACAGAGCAGTCGCATGGCACCTGAGCTCCCACATCTCATCCGGGAATATTGTGAGCCACACATGACAACTTTATGGTTGAGTAACAGGATGAAAATATTTAAACTGATGAGCAGCATTCTAAATACAATTTACTACACTATATTATTTATTTTCTTTTTACTCTTAATTTATATTGGAGCAGTGAGGGTGTACACGTTGCTTATTCATTTTGGCTTTATTTTTGTTAAATAAGTCATGTGTTGTTCAACTGAGGTGCTACTAAGACCTGCTAAGGAACAGATTATTGTTATTATGTCCTGATATGTAAAACCATAGAATTCTATGAGGGTTTACTTTCTTTTTCCCATGACTGTATCACCCCAACACATATGCTGCTATTTGAATCTAAAAAAAAAAAAATGGTCCGAGGCTGCAGCCCACACGGCTTATATACAGAAGGCCTGAGCGGCAATTTCCCCTCTGGCTCTCTTGACAACCTTCCAAAGAACACTGCCTCCAACTTGCATTTTTCTCTTCTGAATAACAGTTTATCATTTTTTTGTCTTTTTTATAGACCTTTATAGGAAAACTAAAAACAAGTAGTTTAAATCAAAAATACAAATGTTCTCACAAAGTAGTTGTAAAATAAAATTGAATGCAAAACATATTGTTCAATGTATTGTGCAGTTCCTCTGATACTAAGCAATATTGATCTGAATAGGGGTTGTCTCTTTAACAATAATGCCCCATATTCAGTTGGTGTTGGGTAATCCCCATTTTCAGCAGGTATGGAGTAATCCTTTAACACACAGATACGAACACCAAAGAAAAAATAAATAACATGACTATACAGAGTGTGTGGCTATTGTGTAGTACACATGCCGTAGGTGTGTTCTGTTAAGGCACGAGTCAAATTTAAGAGTTAGTATGAGCATGCACACCCTGTACTTATAAACACTCCTTCTATTGTATCATTGTATGTAAAGGATAATGGGAAGAATGGCAGCTTCTATGTTTGCTTCTACTAAAAAAAAATAAAAAAAATAGAAAAGTAAATATAACCAATACAATATGTACAGTTCATCTACTAAATATAACTCCATATATGATTAACATTTTATATGAAATGATATCTTTTTTTTTCATGATATTATTAATTCTTAAAATATTAACACAACAATGTATTAAACATTTTAACCAAATTTAATTGTTAGTGATTTGAAAACAATGTGTTGGTTACTATACATACGGTATACATAAATAATAACTGCAAATCCACTGTCCCCACTAGTACGTATGTCTGTTACTGTATTATTCAAACAGAACATTGGCATTATTTGACCAAGCTTATTTTAATGATCCCTTTTGACTACCTCAGACATTTTAACTGTTTTTTAAGATTTTCTCTCTATCATTATTTTATTCAGCACCCTCTAGGCTTGCACCGTACATTCCCTCTTAAGCCATACTTGTCTCCATTTTTTAAACCAAAAACATAGATGTACCCCACATCACATAGCTCAGTGTATCATCAGGTTAAATAATATATATAACCTTTTTATTTTTTTTCTGTCTGTTCTCCAAAAGAAATGTAACAGGCACAGAGAAATAAACAGCACGTAGTGTAATAAAGTGATAACAAGCTGTCCTCTGCCTAAAAGTATATTGCACTCTGAAAATTCAAAGGAAATTCAGGCACATCACCCCTTAAGTGTACATTCACCAAATGGCGTTTTCCTAAGCTTCACTGACACATGATATATAGGAACAGAGAAGGAGAGAACAAACAGATAATAATGCCAAATAATTTAACTTTGCGAAACTCTAAAGGACTTATGCACTCACATTTACTTATTTATTTTACTCTCCCTGTAGCTCTTATATATTTAATATTAAAAGAGTTTACTATGGCTATTATGAAATTGTAAGACCAACTTAGTTACCACGTGTGTGTGGGAGTTTTTTTCTTCTTTCTAATCTAAAATGAAGGACAAATAGGAGACTAAGTCACTTTTTTACCCCAGGTGAAATTTAAAATTAATGAACGAAATGCATTTTTAAGAATTTTTGATATGTTTATTTTTTTGCATTTCTTCACTCTATTTCCAGCAGACTCCATAGACACACAATGGGGGCATCAATTGGTGAATTAATGTTTGGTAAATTTAAATGGTTTTGTACTGTTATCTGTTGGATCTCCTTCTATGTTCCTATGTATTCTGTAAAAGTGAAATTGAAGAAAAACACAGTTTGATGAAAATACCACAAAGGGGCAATATGCCTGAAATTAATATGAAGTTTTTTGTTTTTTTTAATTCTTTATTTTTGCAGTGCAAAGAAATATGACAACACGCGTGAGGTACCCCAACGGCATTCCTCATGCTGATTTTCATTGATTATAAAAATGGGGTATTCGATTGGCTTGCACATTTTTTAAGTTAGTTAAGGAAATGATGATCATGTTTACACATTTGTAACGATGGGGATTCAAGTTGTGGTTCACACATTTTTTGTTACAGCATAGAAAGCATAGTGCTAGAGTTGCCTCACCGACGACTGCATGCATAAGTTAGCAAGCTAGTACATTAGATCAGCTATACATCTGTCAGGATACTTATACTGAATCTGCCTGATAGCAGGTTTGAGAGATGAAAATGAAAGCAAAAACGAAAATCATAGTTAAAATAGGTTAGGTGAGAGAGGCAAATATGCTAGGCGATATGGCATGGCTGGTGTTTGCATTAAAAAGAAAAATCATGCCACAGTGCTTAAGGAACCCTGGGTCCCCGGACAAAGACTCCCCTCTCAGAGGAGAGGTGAACATGATCCTGATTGTTGTTGTTCAGGAGGCAGAGAGTAGGCAGCCGCAGTCCTCGTCCTCGTGCAGAGAGCAACTCCCATCACTGGTAGGCCACAGTTCTTTGTTTCTCAGCTCCACCTGGGAATAATTCCCTGATGCTGTGGTGTGGCTTGTCAGGTAGTGTCGGGTATGCGGTTGGGAGCTGGGTATGTGCGGTGTCTTTAGATTGATCCATGGCCATCGTGTGTGTAACTCGGCTTTGTGGAATGTACCAGCTTGCAGCCTGTTTACCTTTGAGGCCGCTTTGTCTGGCAGATGGCCTCCACTCAAGGTCCTCAGTGTCGATTGAAGCACTCCAAGCCGGGTCTCATGATAGGTAAGGTTCTCGTGTGCTTTCTCCCTGAGTTGCCCATAGTGAGCGCTAAGAGGCCCGAGGGGGAGAAGGGGCGCCATCTCCACAGCTTGCTGGTCAGGCCCAGATGCCATCTTAGGTAGTAAGCAAGGTCTCCGATCGGGGTAGAGCCCCAGGGTAGGCCAGGATGACCCCCACCAGCCCAGAGTGGGGGGAGGAGGGCCATCACCCCATTGCGTTAGGGGACCCCCATGTTGCAGCCAGGCAGGATAGCAGGGCAGCGGCCGTCCACCCTACTCAACACCCGGGTAGGCTTGACTAGGCCTCGGTCACAGAGCTCCATTTTCTCCCCAAAAGGGGCCAGGAATCAGGTCGCTGACCGATCTCCAGAGTTAGCACCTCACAGTCTGCTGTGTCTCAGCACCAGAAATTGCGTTTTGGGACCAAATTTCCAGAAAATAGCAGGAGCTATTGTGCCATGCGTTTTCTCTGATTGGCAGTCCGGTCCCGCCCCCCAATATGACATTTTTGAGTGCAAAATGTTTCTGAGCAAAGGAAGGCTTGTTATCGCCTTATTTTTCTATAAACTGTTTTGTTTTGTTTTCTCTGTGCCTGTAGAAATGTTGCACTTTCTCTCAATTTCTTGCCTATGCCAGCCAAATATATAGGATTCTGACATGTAATCATTTAAATAGAAACGATGAACAGATAAGAATAAAGTGTCTGCAACAAGGGCCTGTCAGGCAATAAAAGACAAATGAATGTTGACAGTGATTTAGAGGGATTTCTAGTTCACATAAGGAAATGCCAGAACTTGCAAAAATGTTGTAACCAGGAGCTCAGGGTGGCCCTGCCCATATTTCTGATAAAAGAAACGTTAAAATCTTGATATAATATATCCACTTTTCATATCATACATTTTAACCTAGGACACTTTGTTGCAAGCGTCTGGAGTACTGCTTCTGTATTAACTCTACAACAGTGTTTTCCATGTGCCAAACGAATGTAATGCGCCTCTGGATTTTTAGGTATCACTCAAACTCCAATCTACTGTAAGGAGCATGACAATGTACCAAAAAAAAGTCCTTAAATTGCTTATGCCTAGATTTTGTTTTACAAAATTACTTTTGAATGTCTATTATAAAGGTTTTCTGCGAAAACCTGCCGTGCTTTTCAGAAGCTAAGAAATGTGTTTTGGCTTTTAATAACATTTACAGTTTTGAAAACAAATGTAAAGACCATTTAATATTAATCCAAGGCTAAACAGACTATACAAGAGGTCACAACTTACTTGTCTACTCTACTAATCTACCTGGAAATACTAACTCTTATGACTCACTACAAAATGTGTGCAAATACCGTGAAAATTGTATAGTCTTTCATTTACAGGGCATTCTGAATATTCTTTCAAAGCACATAGGTAACCTTTTGTCTTGCTGAAAATCACCATTTATAGATTTCGTTTAAAAAAAAAAAAAAAATAGTTTGCAAGCTTTTGTCCAGAATAGGAAAGCTCAGGACAAAGGAATAGATATGGAAAAAAGATTTGTCTACCCAATCCAAAAACACCACTTTAGCTATTTACAGATCATTACATCTCCTCTAAAAAAGCATGTATTTACAAATGTTATTTTGCAAGTCCAAAGAAAATCTTTTTCAAAAGAATTTGTAACAAATTACATGCTATACAATTTATTAGGGTCGCTATCCCCAAGACCCTTCATTTTCATGTCTTGCTTTGGTTATAATGGAAATTTCTCTATATGTTATTCTCCAAGTGAAATGACGGATGATGCTGTTGTAAACTATTGCTCCCAATAACCTTTAATTTGTTGTTGGTAGAGTTTTTGAATTTAAAAAAAAATATTAGTCTTATGTGGACTGGGGCCAGATATTTCATTACCAGAAGTGCCTATTTTTTTTCTAAATAGCAGCCTTAGAAACACGTTTTTATCTTTTTCTTCCTTTCACAAGTTATAGGGGATATCCCCCATACTTTGCTTGTTTCTCCTTAGAATTACAAGCAGCTCTACTGTAATCCTTTTTTAGTTTGTCGTTTCAATTTGGGTTTGAATATCTCTATTATAGCTCTATTATAATATAAAAGATGGAGGGAACTATAGTGTAGGGAATACAACTTATTAATTGATTTCTTTTTCTATTAAAAAAAACTCTGATAATAAATAAACAAATTAATTGTTTACAACAGTATTTTCATCAGAAATTAGTCCTATATGGACTGAGGTCAAATATTGAATTAACAGAAGTACTGATAATAATGCCTGCAGGGTACCTACAAATAAATACCTAAAAGAAACATATTTGACCATTTTAATTATTGTCACACCTTCTGAATGTGGAAAAAAAATATCAAATTTTTGCTTTTATATTAACATTTCAGATCATATTTAAACTCTTGCAAGATAAAGTACTTTGTATACCCTCTAAACCTTTTACTTTTCCAAATATTTTTATATAGGATAAACAAATAAGGGTAAAATAACAATTGTGTAAAGGTGCAGAATTAACATTTTTAAGTTTCCCCAAAACATATTATGCTAGCTGTTCACAATTTGTTTCAAATAACTGTTCTGTTAATATTTTTTCAACCAAAAAGGGCTCAGTAGTGAAGGGGTTAATGTCAGTATCTTTTTATTAAAAAAATAAACCTGCATATTTATCAGTGTTAAAGAGTGGAAAGAACAATTTTGAAACTGAAATAAAAAAATCATGAACGGCCTTACATAGAGAAACAACTAAAATCCTTTTTATTCATGTCCTCCTTAGGGTCTTCAAAAAGTCTAAAGTTATGTATTGCAAAAAATTCACACGATCACCAAATTTATACTTTTCTTATGACTAATCAATAGATTGATTCCATACATGTGAATGGAAGCCATTTGCATTTATACTATTTAAGCACAAGCTGATCCTATTCTTTTGCATTTTTAAAATTGTTTGAAGGGGCAAACAAAATGGTGGGATGTATGACAACGGTTTTTGTTTGTATTTTGTTTTGTTTTTCTTTCCAAAATTACAAATTGTTCATCACATAATAAATCAGACTGATAACTCATTCTATCAAATGCATATTTGCAGTTTTCATGTCATCTTTTCAAGTCCCTTTAAGGAATTTACTATTATTGTAATACATATCCATCAGTAGCAATAGCTTCCAAGTAGCTAGTCTTTAGTTACAGTCAGCAGCCGCTGGCAAACAAGTGAACCCCTACCATAATTTTATTTAAACCTCCCAGCTGATGCAAACCCAGAGCAGGTCCCTCCTGTTATTTTGCACTCCTTATCCACATGGGATGAGGCCTATCTAGCGACTAGGCAGCAATAGCCGCCTAGTCTCTAGTTTTTAGTTACAGTGAGTAGACTCCTCATTATTTATGATTGCAGCCACAAGCGTTTATTAGCTATTTGCCTGCTGGCTGCTAGTACTGTCAAATAGAATTTCAAATTATTGTTTGCTTACAAAAAGCAAGTGAACTATAATTTACAAATGTGCACCCTCCTAGATTCTGTTTAAAATCGGTGCTTTGTATATAGTCCGATTTCTATACATCTATAGAGTTTAGATGTCAAAAAACACTGATTTTAAACCAGACACACAAACACCTCCGATCGATATGGGCAAAATCCAGACTTTAATGAATAACAGTGGTGGTCAGTGTTCTCTCTAAGGTGTGCACTTCTGCGCGCACATACACACCTTTTTAAGGGAGCTCACACAATGTGAAAGAATTTGTGCACAAAACACCAATGGGCACAGAGAGCTGCATACTAACACAGAGATGCATCCACCTGCTGGCCACTGGCACCATTTCTGCACATACATTTGTGAGTGAGCCCCCTGACCTGTGCATGGAGACATCACAGGGGGAGGGAACACAGAAGGAAGTGGAGGACAGCACGAAACAGAGGCCACACAGACTAGTCAGCCAGAGCCACTTAAGGAACCTTGTGAGGGAGGAGCCATCACTACTAAAGAGACTGCTTCCGGGACTGCCCTCAGCCTCCAGGATTCCCCTGGACTGACAAGGAAGGGGAGGCATGACTTCTGCCCATAGTAGGGGAGGGTTAAAATGGGGATACATTGTTGCAAAAGGGTATAAGATATAGGGGGCTCAGAGGGGTGGGTCTTACCACTTGTTAAGAAAGAGCCAAAGGTTGAAGAAGTTTCCTGCCCTCCCTAGTTTTGGTGGTTATTGTGTGTTGTTGTTGGTTTGGTGTTGTTTCTGTTCTTCTTTTTGTCACAGCATACGGTTTTCCTGGCAAGCGCAAGTGATGGAAGTACCGAGTTGGCTTAAGGAGTCACCGCCTGCTAGGACTGATGGCGAAAGGCAGGCTGTCTAGGACTATGGAAAATATATGGATTCTCTGTCTGTTGAGCAATCACCCCAACAGCTGACAGGTGGAAGGAATGCTGGCGTATTGATTGATTTAAATAAAGCTGTGGCCGTTACCCTTATCCAATATCCAGGCGTCTTGTCCTTATTGGGGCAACGGGAAAAATATGGGTCTGGGTCAGCAGTCATGCTGTAACTCAGACTATCCCATCCCCACCCTGTGTTTGGATGAACGTGGGCATAGTAGCATGGTGTAGTATGATGGGGCATAATGGCACAAATGGGGGTATAATACATTGGAGGTAAACTGGAAAATATAAAGAGGGCATGTGGGCATAATAAAATGGAGGCAAAGTGAACACTATGTGGCATGTGTGCAATGTGGCAAAATAAAAGGGGGCAAACTGAAATTAAAGTAGGCAATGTGGCATTTGGACATAATGATGTAGCTTACAATCATATTTGTAATCATGACTTTATACATCCACCCATTGTACAGCGCTACGGAATTTGTTGGCGCTATATAAATAATAAAATAATAATAATAATTTATCAACAATGAGAGAGAGACCGAGAAAAAAATATCTTAAACTAATTTCATGTTTACATTTGTGCAAGCAATCAGTGTGCGCATACCTTTTATAATAGCTAAATATTTCTGTGCACACCAACATTGATGACAGCCAGAATCACTGTGATGGATTAAACAGAGCTGCAATACAGAGATACCCACACAGTACATGTCT